TGCCATTTTCAGAAAAGTTGGCGCGGGCGTTTCTCACGCCTCTTTTCGTGCTCGTTCGGCCTCGAAACTGCTGCGATTTTTATCTCGCTCAATTCTGCACCGATTGACCTGGAGAAAATTGATCTGGAATCCTTTCGTCAAGCGCTAGGGCATGGTGCGCTTTACAGGCGATTTTATTTACTCTTTCCACCCCGGTATGTGGACAGCTCTTCGAGTGCTCTTGTGATTTTTAATCGGACGGAGAAAGGGTACTGGATGGGAAGGAGGGTCTCAGTAGGTGCCGAGGGATGTTCTCGAGGGCAGGGTGCAAAATGTTGGGCGGAGGAGGAGGCTGTGAGGGCTGCATACTGAATTTAGGTTCTCGGGAGGTATTGCATCTCCTGCAATTTTTTGTACTTGCATTTTGTAGTCTTCCTAGTTCTAAATTACAGTAGTGTATATCCAAGATGTCCCCCGAGACATTGGTGCATCCGGTGGAAGAATTGGTATGCATGATTGGACTTACAACTCTCGTATGAGTGTGTCTCGGAAGAAGCCGCACATTCACCTTGAACACTTTCATGATCGACTTACTCTGCAACAATGCATCGCGGTAGAAAGATCTCGGAAGACTTACGCTGGGCGATCGTGAGGATGGCTCCATTTATTGACATTGACCGTATTTCGGTGTGGACAGGTGTCAGCCGGCGCCAGATAACTCGCATCCTTTCCTTACACCGGAAGACTGGACAAGTAGTGACCTTGCAGACTGAATTACGTGGGCGTCCTCGGGAATTGACAGTGACGGATGTTCAGGTATGTACAGCATTATGTTTTGGACTTGGACTGTACCTGATCCAGGCCAGTTTCTCCACACTCGGCTGGATGACGAATGTGACATATATCTCGACGAGTTACGAGGTGGGCTGGAGGAAATTTGTGGGGTTTCGGTATCTCTTCCAACAGTCTGGAGGGCACTGCAGCGAAGCGGGTACACTATGAAGAAGGTAAGCACATCGAGGTGCTGTGGCTAGACCAACATGCTAATCGGTGGGCTAGCTTACTCGTGTTGCTCTTGAGCGAAGTGTACGCAAACGCGCTGATTATATCGCGCGGATTGGGCACTACAACTCAGAGCAACTGGTATTTGTTGACGAGAGTGCTTGCGACCGCCGTACGACATACCGAGGTCATGCCTGGGCAATCAAGGGTCGCCGAGCAGTCAGAAAGGCATTCTTTACACGTGGAAAGCGGTATGTGTGTGTCTTGTAAGCAATAAGCAGCTGTCTTATGAGCTGAGTAGGTACTCTATCCTTCCAGCTCTCTCTCTTGACGGGATTCTGCATGTCAGCATCATTGAAGGTTCATTTACGACATCTCGGTTTGCAGACTTCATTGAGGGCCTGCTCGATAACATGAACCCCTTCCCTGGACCAAACTCAGTTGTCGTCATGGATAACTGCAGGATCCACAAGTCAGATCTCATCCTTGAGATGATCCAGGAAAGGTATGTTGATCGCTTTCTTCTTCAAACATTGCTATTGAATCTTTCTACAGAGGCATGCGGGTCGAGTTCTTGCCGCCGTATTCACCTGATTTCAACCCCATTGAGCTAGCATTCTCGGCAATAAAGTCTCATATACGCCGTCACGGTGATCTTGTCCGATCGACTATGGTTTCAGCTACTGATCAAGCTGATGCTGTGGCAAAGCTGTGGGAGGCTGTTTGGTCTGTAACCCCTCAAGATGCAGAAGGGTGGTTTGCGCACTGTGGATATGACATTGTGTAACTACGGTACTTTATCTATGTTGTTTTATGCTAGGGTAACTATGTGCTGTGAAATAAACCAAGATGTTCACATAAAGAATGAATTAGCCATAGGGAACTAGAGCATGGTGCGAACCGACTACACTATCAAGGTGCGATCCTATGTCGATGTCTTCCTCTTTTTCCTCTCGCGAGCCTCAATTCGTTCACAATCTTTGACAGCATACTTTACCAGCAGTTTGGCAACCCCGATCGGTATCTTGCAATCCCTAGCGAATGTCGATGTTGCTTCCGGAGAGGCCCCTTCATCAGCGATCTGATTGATCCGCTGATAGTAGTTAGTGTCGAGAATGGTTGCGTACTGAGTGAAGTTCAGATTGTCGACGTTCCGAGTGCTTGCGTCAAGGTCTTCCAGCCACTGCCGGACAGTTGGGAATAGTACGGGATGATCGTCAATGTCAAAGCCATCAGAAGAGATATCCAGCTGTTCACGCCGACGGGACAAAGAACGCCGTGATTGACTAGCTTCCGGTTCGAGCATCATAGGTGGAGGGGCGTATGGCATGTATGGAAATATGAAATTCGCCGGTAGCTGCGGCGGGAATGGGTATCCGTAAGGCACTGTAGGTGCAGCAGCTTGTTCCGAACTTGAGCGGCCTTTCCGTGCCGTCCTGGCTGCCATGTCGTCTTCGATCTTGAGCTGCTTCGGTGGTATTGTGATCGACTGATGATAGCCATTGGCCTGGTCCATAAGTCAGATATCAAATATAGGGAAAACAGAGTTATCCCGTACCAAGAGCATTGCCCAGAGACCGAGACTCTGCTTTGACAAGACGTAGTGGTTGTCCTCAGATAGCTTGATGCACGGCTGTCCGTCGTGCTCCTTACAGGCATGCTCTTGCTGTAGAATCTTGACATAATCGGCGTCTGACTTCTTCCTCACCACGCCGTCATCGGATTCAGCTCCATCTTCGTCGTCTTCCCCTTTTCTACCTTTTGAATTGGACTTGAATAGCGTCAGCATGGTACTATTCATCAGAGGACAGATATTTACCTTCGATTTGGATTTCCCTTTAGTCTTCGAAGTCTCTTGACCCTTCTTACCCTTAGTAGTAGATCTGTTCTCAAGGATGACCTTAAACTTATCCTTGTTTTTTGTCTTTGGGTTCTCAAGGTCTGTCCGAGCAAGATCGAATAGGTTGCTGAGATGCGAAGCCTTCGTAAGGACTGATGGACACTGTGACTTAGGCCACGTTGTGAAACGATATGCGAGATTCAAGTCATCAACTTCCGAAGGGCGTATATCCATTGTTTCAACGATGACCTCCAGGAACTCGGTCCAGGTGACATCCGAACGTATCTTCACGGTATCAGAAGCACCATCTATGGGTATATCAAAGGAGATCTCTATTGCAGCTAGAGCAGAGCGGGAAGATCAGTCAAATGATGCAATGAAGATGATGGGACTGGCGTACTCGTGGAATCACTCTCTTCCCCGGATGAGCCACTGCTATCATCCTCATCAGCATCCGATAGGTGTGATGTTGCCCGTTGCTTCCGAACAGACCCCGACTTGCCGAGAAGACTCTGAGCAGCTGATGCGACTTGCTCTTCGACTTCGGCGGAGTCACCAGTGCTGTTTGCCTCCGTTGACGCTGGTGTAGAAGCTACTGCTGCTGCAGCTAAGATGAGATCAGGAACACCGGATGTCGGTGCAGGTACGGGATCAACAGGAACTGTTTTGCCGAAGGCTCGACGAGGTTTTGTTCGTGGACGAGGCTCTGCAGCATCAACCTCAGTCAGAACAGCAGGTTCTTTCACTTGAGACTGGTTCTTCTTCGGAGGACGGCCTTTAGGCTTGCCAGAAGGAACTCTCTTGTCCTTCAGATTGGCCATGCCCGCACAGCTGCAGCAGAAGTAGAAACAAGATGGCTCGGCTGTTCCCGCAGCAGCAGGTAACTTTATATCACATCATACCGACACACCTGCAATGCGTCGTCCACCAAAAGGCATCATAGTTGCAATATTACAGTACATGATGGTGCTATAGTACCCTAGACATTGGAATGTGGCAAACTGCAAATACTAAAAATTATGGGAGATGCAGTACCTCCCGAGAACCTAAATTCAGTATGCAGCCCTCACAGCCTCCTCCTCCGCCCAACATTTTGCACCCTGCCCTCGAGAACATCCCTCGGCACCTACTGAGACCCTCCTTCCCATCCAGTACCCTTTCTCCGTCCGATTAAAAATCACAAGAGCACTCGAAGAGCTGTCCACATACCGGGGTGGAAAGAGTAAATAAAATCGCCTGTAAAGCGCACCATGCCCTAGCGCTTGACGAAAGGATTCCAGATCAATTTTCTCCAGGTCAATCGGTGCAGAATTGAGTGAGATAAAAATCGCAGCAGTTTCGAGGCCGAACGAGCACGAAAAGAGGCGTGAGAAACGCCCGCGCCAACTTTTCTGAAAATGGCAATAAGTACTCTTTGCAACCTTTTATTCTGCTCCTCCACTGTGAATGTAGTCGAAGCCTTTCCATTGAATCTAGTAATACATATTTTCTACTAATTTCTGTTTTCTTGGGTGTTAGGTGCTTGCAGTAATTTACCCACTCGAGTGTAGACATAGAGGCCCGAGGGATCACTAACGGGATGGTTGTATAGTGTTGCTTTGCCGGCGGCCCTAGTTTAAGTCTCCCGAGAACCCCTTCCTGTATAGAGACGCCTGCGCTCACTCGGAGTGCTACCTGGTGGCCGAGTAACAGACAATATCATTACTGGACCAGGTTTGAGGCTTCGCGGCACCGTTTTGATATTGTTCTGGGTGGTCCACTTAGATTCAGTACTAGTCCTTCTGAGCCGCCCTTCACAACATGACCTCTTAAACAGCAGTCCTCTATTACGTGGGTGGATATTGCCTCTGGA